GAGAGGAAGAGGGAGGGGGGGCAGAGAGAGAGAGAGAGAGGAAGAGGGAGAGAGAGAGAAGAGAGGGAGGGAGAGAGAAAGAGAGAGAGAGAAGAGAGGGTGGGAGGGAGAGAGAGATAGAGAGAGGGAGAGAGAGAGAGGGAGAGAGAGAGAGAGAGAGAGAGAGAGAGAGAGACGGACAGACAGACAGACGAGTAAAGACTTCAACAACTTTCACTTCCTCCCTTGGACCAACACGACACAACAACACACGATGACACAACAACACGATGACACAAAAACACGATGACACAAAATGACGAGCACAAAAAGAATCTTTAAAGCTTAAAAATCGTAAAAAATCAAAGCAAAGGAAGACATTTTGAAGAATCTGTACATTTTATTAACATGATCTCCCCCCCCCCCCCCATCCCTCGTACACACACAGTCGCTAAAAGTCTTGTAGGAAGTTGTCACAGATCCGAACCCAGCCGCTGTGGGAGAAACTGAGACCGTCAGAAAAACTGCAGGCCGCGCTGTGTTTGCCTCAACAAATCCCACCAATCAGACAGCTTCCCTCAACAAATCCGACCAATCAGGCGGCTTCCCTCAACAAATGCCACCAATCAGAAGGCTTGCCTCAACAAATTCCACCAATCAGGTTTGCCTCAACAAATCCCACCAATCAGGCGGCTTGCCTCAACAAATCCCACCAATCAGGCGGCTTGCCTCAACAAATGCCACCAATCAGAAGGCAAGTTCGCGTGACTTGGACGTCGACGGCGCCTCCTCTTCCTCGTACTCGATGTGGACCTGAGCTCTCCGCTTCTTCCTCGCTGCTTTCTTCTTTCCTTTCATGGACGTTTTCCTCCCCTTCGCCTCCTCCTCCGATGAACTTTCTTCTTCTTGCGATGAGCCGTCTTCTGCTTGCCCGCTCAGATCCTGCGACACACAAGAGTTCAAATCAACGTTTTTGTTTTAGTAAGAATTTTACGGTCTGATAGGAAAGAAGGAGGAGAGATAAGGACGATAGACGTTTGATAGGAAAGAAGGAGGAGAGATAAGGACGATAGATGTTTGATAGGAAAGAAGGAGAAAACCACACGCCTCAGATCAACTTACAGCTCACAACAACTTTTTGTTTTAGTAGAGGTTTTACGGCGCTCGCAACTGCATAAGGTCATTTGAGCACCAAGGGGTGGATGTCAACAGAGAAGTCCATACAAGGAATCAGACTTACTCTGCCCACCTCTCTAGCCTCAA